ATAATACCGACATCGCTGCCTGAGTCCGCCATTCTAGTGCCATACAGTTTAGAGTCTTGATGCAGGTTGTTTAAGACGCTCCGAGTCAATCTTTTTTTCCTAAGAGCCTGTGATCATAAAATGGCTGTATATGCCATGAATGTTACCAGACTTTCTTTTAAAAATTGCTAGAAATACAAAGAAAGCGTAAAAGCAGCCGAGCTGGTGAAGAACTTCCATCATAACCGGAGACACGAAAACTTGTTGTTTTGTCCGTTTTTACTTCCCGTGTCTCCGGTCATGATGGACGCTAGAAATACAACTTGAATTGCGCAAATATATTTGTATCCACATCAAAGAGTTAAAATTCGACGTGATTTTCAATGTTAGAACGATAGTATGACATAGCTGTTTGGGAATTCGGAACAAACAGACAACGTTGTGACATGAATAATTAAAATGGATTAAATAGCACACAAATCGATAGTACTGGGGCACAAGGCGAGTACCAGAAAAGGAAGAAAACACTACCGTGAGATTTTTTTCTTGTTCAGTCATTTACAGCGAATTCGGCGGTCATGGTTCATTGCCTTAGGACAAGCACGAATTTTTTCTCCAGGCTGTATTTAATTTTTGGTGATTTTGTTAGTCAATGAAAATTAGCCGAAACGTTTTTGAAAGCTTCAGTATTAAATCCATAAAAAATAACACATAATCTAAATTTCTGAATGGCTGTTTTTAAAAATAATTAAAGTCAAGATACATTTAAACCGTCTTTCTCGGCACTTGGAAGGGGGTGCAAAGTTGTGGGGTCGATGCCTCGAAAGCGTGATCACGGAAGCGACGTCACACAGATAACACCGGAGCGCCGACCGAACTGCATCGCCACGTTTCCCGACTTCGCGCCGCTTGCTACCGAGAACCGCACTGTGCGAAAGCTATACTTCGTTTCAGCTTTGGTCCTAGCGCGGCCGATGTTATGAGCCAAAGGGCCAATCAAACAGTGAAAGAGGCACAACCTCATGGCGCGCTGTCTGCCGTTGATAGGACTAGCCGGTATTCGCGTCTTTTTGTGCGTGTTCCTCCGCCGGCCTGTCCTACCAAACGCAGAAAGCACGCAATAACGTTGCGCTTTTTGCGCTGTTTGATTGGCCCTTCTGCTCATAACATCGGCCACGCCCGGACCTAAGTTGAAACGAAGTATAGTCCTTTCTCAACTCATGCTCGCTTCAACGCGACGCGCTCTTATCTGGTGCCCTAAGCTGGACGCTTGGCGAAAACGATGGCGAGAAATATGGCGGCCGCGATTGACCAATGGCACACTTGACGTTGGCGCCGGCCAATCATAGCCGCAAAATTTCTCGCCGACTTTCCTGCCAAGTGTCCAAGGGCCCTAAGCTGGATGCTTGGCGAAAGCGACGGCGAGAAATTTGGCGGCCGCGATTGGCCAATGGCACACTTGACCTTAGCGCCGGCCAATCATAGCAGCAAAATTTCTCGCCGACTTTCCTGCCAAGTGTCCAGGGGCCCTAAGCTGGACGCTTGGCGAAAACGATGGCGAGAAGTCTGGCGGCCGCGATTGGCCAATGGCACACTTGACCTTGGCGCCGGCCAATCATAGCCGCAAGATTTCTCGCCGACTTTCCTGTCAAGTGTCCAGGGGCCCTAAGCTGGACGCTTGGCGAAAACGACGGCGAAATATTTGGCGGCCGTGATTGGCCAATGGCACACTTGACCTTGGCGCCGGCCAATCATAGCCGCAAAATTTCTCCCCGACTTTCCTGCCAAGTGTCCAGGGGCCCTAAGCTGGACGCTTGGCGAAAACGATGGCGAGAAATCTGGCGGCCGCGATTGGCCAATGGCACACTTGACCTTGGCGCCGGCCAATCATAGCCGCAAGATTTCTCGCCGACTTTCCTGTCAAGTGTCCAGGGGCCCTAAGCTGGACGCTTGGCGAAAACGACGGCGAAATATTTGGCGGCCGTGATTGGCCAATGGCACACTTGACCTTGGCGCCGGCCAATCATAGCCGCAAGATTTCTCGCCGACTTTCCTGCCAAGTGTCCAGGGGCCCTAAGTTGGACGCTTGGCGAAAACGACGGCGAAAAATTTGGCGGCCGCGATTGGCCAACGCCACACTTGACCTTGGCGCCGGCCAATCATAGCCGCCGAATTTCTCGCCGACTTTTCCGCCAAGTGTCCAGATTAGGGCCCCAGATTAGGGCCCCTGATTGAAGCGGCAATAGACACCGCTCCGGCAGCCGTGATTCCACAATCTCAGCTCATCGCTCAGGGGCCCTAAACTCGTGAAACACTGTATGAGTTGGAGCCGAAAGTTCGCGGAGCGCGCCGATTGGATGCCGGAGACAAAAACGCAAAGGCATCGCCGTGATAGTTCGATCGGTACGCTCAGTGAACTTCTGCCCCAGGTTTGTGTTTAACCACATTATACTTCGTTTCAGCTTCCGTCCGAGCGCGGCCAAGGGCTGACGGACGGTTCGTAACTTCGAGAAGAGCATTCCTACACACCACAAAGTAGTCCAAAAAAGTACTTAAAAAAAATAAAAACAGCTTTTTGCGCAAACATTACACAATATTCCAGATGTGTATTGCTGGGAATGATTTGCAACTAAAGAAATTAAATATCTGAAATTTATTTTTTGTTAATATATATGAATGCCTGTGGTTTGTTGAAAACACGTAGATTTGGTGGCAGCACCTCTGCAGCGCTCGGTTTTTTGTGTGATTTTGTTCGTGTAATCGCCGAATCTTGTGCTTCGCTGCGTTCCTCACCGAGTCGCTTCAAAACATCCTTTTGCAAAGGCACGTTTTGTCGTCAGGCGCGAAAGGTCGTGAAGAATGTGTACTTTCAAATTCGGCAGCAGACTCCGGCCGCGTCGTACCGCGATTGTGTTGTAAACTGGAAAGGCGTCCGGGCCACTACCATTCACTGATACGCGGCGAAATCAGAGCAACCCTTTACCTGCCGATCACAATGAACGCCGAGAAGGTGGTGGAAAGGACTGCGCCTGGAGTCCTCGTTTATCCAGACATTACAAGAAGACATTAACGCCGGGTCGTCGGGCACCTTGCAACGTGTTTTTACATCTCGAAACTATGACTAACAGGTGGAAAGCTCGGACACAGAAGCCAGTGGCCAGTCTACATACTGACATCCCCTGTGACTAAATTTCTGAACGTGAAAAGGCACTTTTTACACCTGTAGCAGATTATAACGTTGATACACCCATAGCAGACGCAATACTCGGCGAGCGAGACCGGCGCGGACGACCAGCGGAGCAGCGGAGTGACACAAAAGTTCACGCGAGATCGGATGGCCTACTGCCGACGTGTTATTGGCTCCGGCCACGCGTAGCTTTCGGCGCACTCGGACGGAAGCTTAAACCAAGTATAGAGCCCCTGGACAGCGGCTGATCTGCCCAGCTCGCGTGCGCTGCGTCACGGGTAGTTCACGCGACTCTTTCGCGTGACTCGGCGACGCGTTACATCAATCGCACGGAATCCCGTCTAAAAGTCTCGGAGATGTCGACGCGGGGAGCAGCACATTTCTCTCTACCGGACTCCGAGCCCCAGGCATTTGCTTCTTGCGCGCCCGACATCGTCTTGCGGCAAGAGTCCGTTGACGCTTCTTGAGCTGCGGTCGTAGTTCTGAGGAAATTTATGCAGCGTAAATCGCCTTTGCACCGACCAGTTTTTTTTTTTTTTCATAATGTGATTAACTCTACCTTGGAGTGGGTTGATCTCAAAGTTTTCTGGCAGCGTTCTTTAGTGTATTGTTTTACATCATGAAATATCTGTAATAGAAACAGGGCCCATGGTGTGGCAGTTGATAGAGGAATGTACTCCGTAGTTTGTAGAACCAAGATCTCGGGGAAAAAAATCAACCGTAGGCAGCTGTAGAGAAACGGCGTTGCTTTTGATGTTAAAGCAAGGAATGGTATCGTAGTGGCAAGAATGAAGGTAATGAATAATCACAAGCGCTATACCTGTGATTACGATTATCAGTCGTACTTTCTGGCAAATGGTTAAGGATGAGCTGTTGCGTAATACGTTACGATTGTTCTGAAACCTGATCTATCCAAAGAAATGTGAACTAGATATCAACGCCAAATGAAGAGTTTTTTTAAGACTTTTTAATGTCACCTTTCAAATTATTCTGCGGCCTTCCGGAGGACTCCACCCAAGATCAGTGAAATCACTGTACGCAAATGAGCAGTTGTGTTTGATCTTAAACAAGTGCAGTCATGACGCAAGGTTTTCGACTTTCACGGTGTGGCTTATCAAACGTCGCTGCTAAACTTTCGGTGGATTGTTCAAATACGGCTCAAGACCAGGTCGAGACGAGTCACAGGGAGTCAAGCTTTAGCAGCTACAATTTCGATATTAAAAAGTCGTTTCTCTTTGACGATTGCATCTAGACATCGTGAGAGATAAATATTGCTTGATGCTGTGCTTTTTCGTTCGCATACTATTGACAATAATGCTAAAATCGATGTGGAATAACGAAATAGTTTTCGACTTTGAAAAATGCACATTTTACGTTCTTTCATTAAACATTCTAATACGCATGAGGAACCTAAGACTTCTCCCGCAAGACCCTCCCATCTCGAAATTGTATTATCATGGGTATATAGTCTACGAGTGTACTTGGAACATAAAACGAAAAAATAATAGCACATTGGTATACATTTTTAGGCCAGTTCATAAAGAGGATGGCATGAGCACAGAAAAGAAAAGATGAGTTTCATATCGTATTTGTGTTTTTCCTTTGTTTACGTTTTTACTCGTTACACTACAGAAAATTTCCCTCCAGGCCATCTTGCGCGTTTCGCCCCATGCCATTGCTGCCCCAAATAACGTAGGACATCAGTTTATTTCTCTCTAGATTGCACCAGGAATAAGTCGTTTTAACAGGGAAATATTCTTATCTAATTTTTTTATTGAGGATGCAGAGACTATTTTTGTTCTGCTTTACAAAACACCGTTGGAAAAACATTCAATCACTTCTTCAATACTAAGGTAAGACCATCACCAACAGTTAGCATGCTTGCAAAAACAGCGTCGTCTTTGTAGATAATGTCGTTAACTATCCTTACTGATGCTGGCATTGGTCCGTTGTTCTCCAAGTCCAGTACTTGTCCGTGAAATAGTACCTAGATAAAAAAACAAAATCGAGAACAAGGTGTTTTATATTGCCTAATGAATGCATGTTCACGTGACACTTTATCGCTTCTTTATTTATATAAGCTAAAACGCTATGGTGTCTTAAGCTAAAACTCTATGGTGTCTTATAGTGGAAGCTTTTTACAGGGCATTTTCTCTTAGCCTGAAAGTTTAAGCTTGAAAATGTGCACTTCAGTCCACAATTCCTTACATCCCGTAAAACGTCAAATTGCTGTTTTCATAATACTTTGAATGGAGACGCGCTGGTAAGGATAACATAAATAATGGTGTGAACACAAAACACAAGGACGGACAAGACGATTTGCCAACTGGCAGCAAACTCTTGGTGACAAGTCCGACAGGGAAGGGTCTTTCTCTTCAAGAAGGAGGCGGGTAAGGGACGTGTAATCAAAAAAGGGGAAGGTAATCATAGAGCATGAAGGAAAATGGGGAAAAGAGAGGCGAGGTGAGTTACTTTTGAATGCTAAACAATTATATATATAAAAAAAAAACATCACAGCACTCAGGAGAAATCAACAAAATTTGATCGACCTGAAGACAATAAAAATAATTTACGACTCTCAATTCGGAACTTGAGAAATAACACTCTGTCGTGGCAGCCGCACACGTGGGTTCCTCCAAACTTTGTGAAAGAAACGAAATTTATTAAAAGATAATTGAAGCTAAAAGATACGCCCTGATATGAAGAAATAAGAATTCGTTAACACGCGTTAGTACACCCTGTTTATTTTGTTGATGATTGCAAAAACATTAGAGAGAAAATACTTTCTTCAATAAGCCAGCATATATTAAAATGTGTGCATTTATGTACTTCATTCCTCCTGGAATGTACGTACTTTGTCATTTGTTACCTGAACATGAGCAGTTTCTTGTCTAGAACTACCACGTGCATCTTTTGTTATCTTCTTCTCGTACTTTTAGCACGTGTATCTTTTTTTTGTAGACTCATACTTACGTTATCGACGGCAACGATTCCGTTCTTTTTTAGAACTTTCAGAGATTTCTTGAAATATTCTAGATAACCCTCTTTGTCGGCATCGATGAAAATCATATCGAATGTTTCGCCATTCTTAATCATCAAATCTGCAAAAAAAATATATACATTTCACGATTAGAGTACCGCTTAAAATATATCTCTTAAGCGTTAAAAACACGTGAGCAAACTATGCTCACTGACAACTTAAAAATTAGGGTATGCCCGGTAGTAACCACTTTATAACCACTCCTTAGTCGATGATATTGCGGCATCGGCAGATAAGGACGCAGAAAGACGAATCATGAAGCAGATGGTGTGAACATAGCAATCATCTCCATTTATTATGCGGTCGGTAAATATATTTTTAACATAACTGCAACGGAATAGTTAAATTCCAAATGGAATGAAAATGGAACCTCACAGTGCCGAATAACAACGAAAAAGTAGAGGGTTTAGTCGGATACCAATACCAAGAACTTCATTTCTAAACTTAGAGAGACCTAAAAACAAAAATGCATAGTTCAGAGGAAAAAAGAAAACAAAGAAAGAACCTAACGTGCTTGTTCCTTATCAAGACTCTAAGAACGAAGGGTGGCTAGCACAAATTAAATATGACGTTAAAATTTGGAAATTTTATCTTCGAAACTACGTATTAGCACAAAAGTCTGGTACGCCCAAACCTGACCACTGAAGACTGATTTTGATCTTTCGGGGATCTATTGAGGATCAATTAAAATCTCGGTTACGCGGTGTTTCCTCCGCAATAAGCCTCCGTCAGATTAGGAGCGCCTCTTACATGAAAACAAACAAAGGTGCTAATGACCAGACTTAAACGACAAATTTAATATGCAGTTGATGGATGTGTCCTCCATCCACTTGTGTACAAGCGGCGTTCTGGGTGCATGGACGGATATGGCTGGACCACCTTCATCAGGTGACATCTAGCGTCACCTAACCCTCGCATCTCCCTAGAAGCTGCGGAAGCAACAGGTAAGCGAAAAATGTAGGTTCAGTTATCGTTTTTATTCCAATTTTTATATTATCTTGGTCACGTTATGGACGCAAAAACCGAGAATATGCTTAGAGGCCAGAGAGCTGGCTGCAGATGTTGGAAGATACCTGAATTCCAAGTGGTGACAGGCGTGATTAACGGATTTTCGTCGAGCGCATCCAAGAAACGGGCTTTGTGAGTACCGATATATCTCGAAATATGCGCGACTCCTAAAGGGTAACCCACAACTAGATTTGACTTAATTTGTTATTTTATTTTAAACACTAAAAGATAAACCACTCCTAGTATTCGTAGTGTTCAGATCAGTGAAGACGTAGGCGTAAATGCGTCCGGTTGGGTATGGCGGGATTTAAGCGAACATTGCTCACTATGAAGTACAGTCATCTTTGCTTAATTTTCCTTCGGCGGAACTATGAGTTTAGCTGGGACACATTATCTAATAATGGCATTTTATCAACTTTTCTTGATTGCCGATAGAAAGTTATCCCTCTCCTTATTTTAACCCAATGTGCCCTCAATTTTAGGTATGCTCTCTTTCGGGATATTATGTAAACATTCAATGAAAATCCTTTGTCATTCGGGCTTTCTAAACGCAGACCTAATTTAAATACGCCGCAGTTATGCGATAACTAGTTCACCATAGGAAGAACGTTCCGGGCTAAACCTAAATTAGATTCAATAGTACTGATAATCAATTAATCAAATTAATCAAAACCTCATCTACTACGAACCCAAAAGTTCCATCTATACATTTGGCCATTCATTATTTAATTAAAATTCTAATCTGGAATATTCGCAAACACCTCATTATTAGATTATTCTTTGCGTGCCGCATATTTATTAATAATAAACTTTCAAATGTTTTAAATGCTACGTTTCTCTACAATTTTGCTAGCGCAAGTTTGTTTCCGCAAACATGTCCCATCACTATTTCGCCTTAACCTTCTGCAAATATCTTTATCGCGCTGGGAGGTTGTGCTTTTTATGCCTCTTTTTCCAGAGCAGCCGGATGTTAAGAGCCTCTTTCTCAAACTTCATTAGATCATTTATGTTAACAGGAATCTGCCATGGGTTTTTAGTCTTCTTCGAATGATTTCTATGCACATCCAGCGATTTTAAACAATATTGCACGACACTGTGGGGTGTCCTAACCTTGAACTGTGCAACAAGACAGGGGAGTTTTGTCAAACGCAACCTCCCGACCATCCGGACGACACGCCTGTTGAAGGCGACGTCCCGAGAGCGTTGAATGAAACGACTGTTTCACGGCATGCAGCCGCGTACTTACAGACCTGGGGTGTCTTGCGGTATGACAACACATTAGTTGAATGTTTACAAACATACGATTGAAATTGTCTCTTGCGGACAAAATTCATCAGAAATTGAAAAAAAGAAGGGGTTAGTCTCAGAAGCTTTCCATGTTGTGGCAGCCGTGCTACAGGGACGAAAACAACGAGGAAGGATTTCGGCACGTGAAAGAGCGATAAAGAAAGAACGGCAGGAGCCACGAGGTTGGACAAATGGGTCGCTCGGTAGGTCTGTCGACCAATGTGTTCAGCAATGCTTTTTTTTTTATAAATAGTCTTTATTAAGAGTTTGACAATCATTCTACAAGTCTATCCAATCTTGGTTTGGTAACGAAACTGTGATCTTTGGGTAAAACATCGCATGACCTAATAGGAATAAAATTTGTATGACCTGAGAAAAACCTTTTCAAAAGTGTGTGACACGTAGTAGGGGCTGTGCCAATCATCCCAGTCGGCCATTATTTGGGCGCAAAACATGGCGACCGCCAAAGTTGTACAATCGATTTGAAAAGAGTATCTTGTAGCAGATTGTCTCTGACAAGTTTCCGCTCGCCTCGCTTCTTCTTTAGAAGTCGCGTAGATGACCAATCTTGCACGCATATCTTGCTCGCCTTGTAGCACTCCGCATTGTTCCCGTAGAGTTTTCACAGCGTTTACTCGCCCATCGGAGAGCCAATTGTTCAGGCGTCAGCACATTGTAACTCAGATTAGGCAGTTTTAGCGTGGCGTTGCCGTGCGAAGCAGCATTGCTAACGAAGCATTGATGTCTTTCGTGCGCCGGGAGCTGTTCAGTGACTGCCGCAAAACCTGGAAACGCTATGTTAAAACTGCCTATTAACGGGAATTATCACAATGATGCTCCATTTCGTCCTTTTGTGACCGACAACCCCGGCTAACGTGGTTAATAAAAAACTTTAAAAAAAAACGGGAATTAAAAAACTTTGTGTTCCAATCGATGCCTCTTTGAGTGGCTGGCCACGTCGGCTTGCACAACGAATCGAACTTACAAAACTACGTGAATGAAATAAAGGGCACTGCCTCAACCCGCATAAGAGCAAAAAAAAAAAAGAAAAAATGGTTTCACGATGGACTCTTTGGAAAGTTCAAGTCAGAAGTGTTCCGTGTGAAACAAAGCCGAGTTTTGGGATTATAAAGAAATGAAGTAATTACAGAAAAAAAAGCAAATCCTTAGATTGTTCCAAAATTATCTGATGGGCGAGTGTCTTCAATGATATAGCTCAGAAGTATGCCGACAATGGAAAAAAAGTGTCAACAATAACAATTCAACTGCATTAATTTATCTTTATATACTCACGACGTTTGTTTTACGTATGATTGTATGCAAGACACGGCACGACCTAACATTGCCTGTTATGTCTTGTTCAAAACGGAAAGCTTAGGGAACCCAGGAGAATTGCTAATCTGGATGTTTTTGAGTAAGTAGGTTCTGAATAAAAAATAAATAAAAAAAAAAACACTAAGAATCAGGACAATTTTTTTCCAAGTTATTCAGAACACGTGCATCCTTTTCAAAGTACTTAGTTGGAGAATTTTTTTTTCTATTATTTTAGGCGGATAGAATTTTTTTCATAAAGCTTATCAAAAGATACTTATCATAAGACGCCTCGTTATGCTCCGCACGTCTGGATTCTAGAATTTCGCTACTGTGACTTTCGTCGTAGGATCGTCAGTTTCAAGGGTATTTACTAGTCATTCTTGTTTTCAAAGACCGCTATATATTTAAAGTAAGAATTTTTTTTTTTTCATTTTGGTCATGCTTCTGAATGAGTTTCGTGAAGAATACGATTATTTGAATAATATTGGTCTTTTGCTTACCAAGAGATTCACTCGCCGGAGCAACTCGAACATCTATCTTGTGATCAACGGCAGCCTAGAAAAAAAACTTTCGGTGAAAAGGGTATTCAAAACATAATTTTTATATAAACAATGAAACAACTTATCAAGAATTGGCACTGATGATATGAAGATATTTGTTTACTGTACCTGCTTCCTGTTTTTTGGGGCTAAATATTTATGCAAATACAAATCGAGCTCTTAATCTATGAAAAAAAATCATAGTTTAGTCATTTGTTGCAGCTATTCTGCGGAACTTATATTCATCAGTCCGAAATAAGACGATCTTTGTAGCGTTCCGGTTTCTGGGTTACTCAACTGGACATACTGCTCCGCAGCATCGGCTGAGCTCTGAGGTACGGTTAAACGAAGTATAATATGATGGAGAGCATATTTCAACGAAAGTGGTTTACTGCAGAAATTTGCATGAACTAAAAAAAGAAAAAAAAAAAAACCCGCGATTGGACACGGACCTAAAGTACCTCAGGATATTGTTTTTATGTACATAGGCTATTTTTCATGTTAGAACGTTCTAAATAAAGTTTTCTATGGTTTAGCGGAAATGTAACAGGATAGAAAGAAGTGAAAAGCAGATGTGTAACCAAAGTGCAGTCTCACTCCCAAGCTTAGTGGGGCCGTTAAACTCCTGCACAGAACAATGTCGCCTTGTGACCCTAGCACATACCTATACTATACATGTAGGGCTCTTGGTTTCTTATGCCCGATTCGCACTACAGTGACAAAGAGAAATAAGCAACACCGACAAGCCTCAATCACATGCAGCGTGCACGCGAAGCTGTATTTATCAGGCTTGCGTTCACTTGTGCCTAATTCACATGCACCGAAAGACTGCAAGCCTGCCAAAGGTACCATCGCGTGCATGCCGCGCGTGTACTTGGTTCTTGTCGGTGACGGTTGTTTCTGTTTGTCAGTCTAGTGAGACTTGGGCCTTAGGTACGGATATGTTCTAGGAAAGCCATTAACGCTACACTAACAAGATTTCCTACAGGTGAGTTATAAATTATGTGGCCAGGGAAACATAATATAGGGGGCTAATCATTAAGGTAAGTCAGATAATGAGCTAAATGTCTTTAATTACCTCTATCATCATGGCACTAAGCAGAAAGTTTCAATTTGAAACCTTCTGGTCGTAATAGAAGACCACTAAGCCAGTCAATTTGAGAAGGATGTGGAGTGCGTCGGACACTCGGTGGTACTCTAAAGTTGACACTCGTGCAACAGCATCATGGTTGGCGGCGCGAGAACGCGGGTGATGAGCGCGCGTTGCTGTTATGATGCTCAATAAGTTCAAAAAAGAATCAAATATTTGTTTTCGCGAAATAAAAAGGGTATCAAAAATTGTATTTAGTTATCCCGCTTATCGTAACGAATATCCCGATTATTGTCCTCCTGGTCGTATACATCACCCACATATACTAGATTACTAGACAAAACGGCCTTTTTAAACAAATCACCAAAGCCTGAATCAAAATTAGCAGCTAGTACATGTGTGTCACGGGAAAGCCCTAGGATTTCCCGTGACGTCATCTGCATGAAGGTCTCCACGTGAGGCAATGGCTTTTCTGGACACTATGACGTCACACGATACTATGACGTGATAGTGTGAAGTCGCGTCACACCATGAGATTATCTGACGTAAGGTCAAGGTGTCACGCAACATGGTGTCTCTCTTACGTTAGCCCAACACAGCTCAAAACGCGCTGCACATTGTGGGTTTCTAAATGTATCCATCAAATTAAAATGCACACATTTTCGTGTCGTCGTGATATTGAATATTTGAATTTTTCGGGTAAGTACAATATGTGAGTTTTAGCTGGTTTTCCCGTAATACCGGTGCACTATTCATGTTATACTCCTCTCTCGTAGGTAGGTGTCAAAAGATGAATCACACCGGTACCTCCTTCCAGAACGGCATTCCTATTTTAGCGAATTCCATGGAAACGTCAAGTCCAACAACTCGACCATCATCCGGCAAAGCTAGCGCAGCTGCTAGAGAACTGCATCCAGTGAAAACACCTGGAAAAATAAACAAATTAAAGAAAAACATGGTGGCAGGGATTATATGACCCGTGAACAAGATCAACTAGTAGCTTTGCAAAAAGTTATGAAAGTCTTTGCCTTGCTTGAGTGGCTTTAACGACAGATAGACACAGAGGTCAACCTGGACGTTCGTCCCACCTCAATACTCTGTACTGGCGCTGGGGGTACAGAGAATAGAGATACGTAATAATGAGAGCAGAATAAAACGATTGCGATGAGGACGTAAGTCGTGATAATAGATTCTAAATACAAATGGTTTACGAGGAGAATAAATTTGACTCCGTTCATTTGCGCGCATAAAGGGTCGAATCTTCCCCCAGCTGTATGCATCACAGAGCGTCCGGGAGGTATGTAGACACTGGACAGTTACTTAACCATCCCGGGATTGTGACCGCTGCGTCTAGTATGTCACGCACCTGATAGCCCTAAACTTTAGGGTCACCCAAATGTATTCATGTCCTTGTTACTCGGGCATAGTATGCCCCCGAAAGGAAAGTGTTTTAGATGTCATTTATCAAAAAGCTCTTAGGACGAGAGGTAGGTCAGTGCACAATCTAGGCTCTTCGAATCAACGTGGCATGCATTAATTCAACTATTTCACGACGGCCTTTAATCTAGAAGCTCTGGAAATGCACATAAGGCAGGTATATTTATGGCGTTAGGAGCCGGTCCAAATTTACGAGTATATTATTATGACACTCAACACTACAAACAAAATGAGATATATGGGAAAATCACACTTCCGTTTAAGAGGTTAAATATATTTGTTTTTATGTTTACTTCTGCTGTCTCAAAATGCATCTCCTATCTCTCTGTGTAGATGCAATGAATATAACTAATATATATATATATATATATATATATATATATATATATATATATATATATATATATATATATATATATAATAACCAGGCAATCCTCTTGTGAGTTGTTATTATTATTTTTTTTTCTTGCCGCTGCGGATGCTCTAAAGCAAGAGCACCCATGTCTGTCATTAAATAAAGACGTTTTTCAACTCAACTCATCAGAGAATTCTGGTGTGACAACAAAAATTCTCGTATGCCCACCAGCAATGCTGGGGTATCCAACACAGTAGCCTGGTCTGCAGACCACTAATGCTGGTGTATCGAACAGACCAGCCTGGTGTGCCCAAAGGAAATGCTGGTGTACCCGCACAGCAGCCTGGTGGGCACATCAAGAGAGTCCGGTGTCACACCACACGGGTTCATGTGCCCACCAGGCAGCCTGGTGTGCACACCACGCAGTTTGATGTGACACCAGTGTTGTATTCTTTTTTACTTTTTCCCCCGTCTGCGACCGCGTTTTCGTTTGGTTTGTGTGACGCCCCTTCCCCGACGTGGTGCCTCGTTTCCTCCCTTCTTGGTGGTCAACGAAGTCCCCGCGGCGGGCTCCTTTGTGCTCAAGAAGTTGCCCCCTCGTCCCCAGCACTTTCCTGGGCGACCCTGAGCAGCTTGGGGAGCTCGCCTTTCGGGGATTCCCCTTCCCCTATCCTTCAGTAGTCTTGTTGAAATTTGAAAAATAAAGAAGTCTTCTCTGTGAGTCGAAGCATAAAAGATGTGTGTCGGTGCGCTTTCCTGACTTCCGACAAGCTAAAGATAGTGTAATATGGTCTGGTAGCAAAACAACAAAAAAAGCTAGTAATTATTACAGTCTTGGGTGCTGAATCCTTAAATTAACGGCCGAATCATGCTTACTACGAGCCAGATGGGCTTCGACCGCCTCAAGCGCAAACGTTCTATCCTGATAGCCGCCACAACAAAGATCATCAACGAGATTGGCGTCCTCCTGGACACGGATCCAACCAACATCGGTGAGCTCGAAGAATGATTTGATATTTTTATATTTAAGGAGGCTTTCCTGAAACAGCTGGATAAGGAAATAGAGCCATCGGTCGAATATGATGCCTTAGACGAGGATATTACTGGCGCGGTGTACGTGGAACGGATCAGCATAACTAAGACACGAGTCAACCGCAAGCTGAAAGGCCGAGAATTGCGAAACGAAAGGGCGTCCGGTTCTTCGACGCAGGGCAGTGGCTCCGAACAAGCTCCAGTTGATCACGGCTAACTCCCTAAAGCTTCCGAAGCTTTACTGTGTGTGTCCCTAGCGAAAAATACACAAGGCCCAGGGCTGGTGTGATTCGATGTGACACCAGACTTTTTCACTGATGTTATTTGGGACATTTTCACACCAGCAATCTAGTGTTCTGTTGTGAAACCTGAAATCTGGTATGCTGGTGTGACACCAGCAATCTAGTGTTCTGTTGTGACACCAGCAATCTGGTGTTCTGCTGTGACATCAGGTTTTCTTGTGATGTTGCACCAGAGCACCTGTTGCTTTACTAACAAAAAAGAGTACAATGATAAGTTTCCCAATGCTGATGTCATAATTGCTTTACTCAAAAAAAACACAGCAGTAAAGCTTCGCATGCTTTACTGTTGAAGAAAGTTAGCCATGATCAACTGGAGCTTGTCCGGAGCCACTGCCCTGTGTCGAAGAACCGGACGCCCTGTCGTTCCGAAAATCTTGCCCTTTCAGCTTGTGGTTGACTCGGGCCTTAGTTACGACGATCCGTTCCGCGTACCCCATCGCGCCAGCTATCTCCTCTTCTAAGGCACCATGTTCGACAGACGGCTCGATTTCCTTCTCCAGCTCTTTCAGGGAAGCCTCCCTTAAACAGAAGAATATCAAATCTTTGAGCTCACCGATGTCGGCTGGATCCGTGTCCAGGAGGACGCCAATCTCATTCATGATCTTTGTTGCGCGGCTCGCAGGGTAGCCCTTTTTTGCTTCAGGCGGTTGACGCCCTCGTGGCTCGTGGTAGGCATGATCTGGCCATTAATTTCCGGGTTTTGTCACCAAAAACTGTAATATTTACTAGCTTTCTTTGTTGTTTTGCTACCAGACCATGTCTAACTATCTGTAGCTCGTCGGAAGTAAAGAAAGCGCACCAACACACATCTTTTCGGCCTCGACTCACAAAGAATGCTCATTTATTTTATCAAACATCCACAAGAATACTGGAGGAAATGGAAAGGGACACCCCCGAAGAGGCGAGCGCCCCAAGTTGCTAAAGGCTGCCCGGGAAAGTTTTAGGGACGAGGGGCACACTTCTTGAGCACAAAGGAGCCAGCCGCAGTGTCTCCCGCGACCACCAAGAAGGGAGGAAGCAAGACACCACGTCGGGGGAAGGAGCGTCACACAAACTAATCAAAAACACGCTCGCGGAGGGAGGTAAAGTAAACAAAAATACAACACTGGTGTCACATAAAACTGCGTGGTGTGCACACCAGGCTGCCTGGTTGGCACATGAGCCCGTGTGGTGTGACACCAGACTCTCTTGGTGCCCACCAGGCTGGTGTGGGTGTACACCAGCATTTCTGGTGGGCACAACAGGCTGGTGTGCTCGATACACCAGCATTGCTGGTGGGCATGCCATATCTTCTGGTGTCACACCAGGATTCTCTGTTAGCACACCAGGATTGCCTGGTGTATTTTTCAATTGGGTTTTTTGAATAAAGTAATTACGACATCAGCGGTACTGTCAAACTTATCATTGTACCCTTTTTGGTGAGTGAAGAAACACCCAGTCAACACGTGTTCTGGTATCACAAAACCACAAAACCTGATGTCACACCAGAACACCGGATTGCTGGTGTGAAAATGCCCCAAATCACAACAGTGAAAAAGTCTGGTGTTGCATCAAGTCACACCAGCCCTCGGCCTAGTGTCTTTTTCACTAGGGTATATATATATATATATATATTGTTAGGGTGATGCTGTCGGCAGCAGAAGGGACAGGACAGTACACGATGATAGAACACACATACGATTTATGGAGGCCGAGCCGGCCCGTGGGGCCTGGCGCGAGATGGTCGTGCGCGCCACTGCCCCATCGTCGTCTTCACCTTCCTAACAGTACTCCCTCCGACGAAAACGGCCGACCCGGCCGGAGAATAAATAAACACCTGAAACACACGTACAACGCCACACACACAGAAGAACAAAGGACAGCTGCCGACAGCGAGGATGAGGATGAAGATGGAGACGTTGAATTTCGGCCTCTTCCGCAGCGTCACAGACCTCTGCACCAGCCACACGACGGCACGGTCTGGGCTGGGGGACTCACGTCACTGAGAAGCGTCGGAACGTCGGGGGCTGGGGATAGGGGCGGGGGATCGTCTGTCGGCTTCGTCTGATGCGGCTTCGTCTGATTCTGCTTGTCATGGCGTCTGGGCGGGGGCTGGGCGACGGAGCAATGGGCTGGTGTTTGGTCTGCTGCTGCGGATGACTGCCTCAACGAGGCGGGTTCACAAGATCAAAGCGGCGCTGATGTTCAATGAAGAAGATGAGTATGGCTCCGCACCTCCACCATACTGTTAGGGTGATGCTGTCGGCAGCAGAAGGGACAGGACAGTACACGATGATAGAACACACATACGATTTATGGAGGCCGAGCCGGCCCGTGGGGCCTGGCGCGAGATGGTCGTGCGCGCCACTGCCCCATCGTCGTCTTCACCTTCCTAACAATATATATATATATATATATATATATATATATATATTCTTAAAGTGCTTGAAGGAGCAATGGGGACAGGGCGCCCTCCGAACGATGGTTGTAATCCAAAACTGCCCGCCGGAGGGCCTGTAAGCGCGAGCCCCAGCAGATGGCCTGTCGCGCTCTTTGTCGTCGCCGATGTATAATTACCACCTCCTTTTTTGGCGGTCGTCTTGACCGCATACTGAATGAAGGGGGGAGTTTGGTGGAAAAGAGCGGTTTTTTAGGGCGAGGGTTTGACGCGGGTAATGTGAGCGGTATCCTTCGAAGGTGCCTGTAGGTCAGGTGTTGGGTTCAGGAGGGGTACCTGGTAATAAAGTAGAAACTTGGGCGAGTTGGTTTTGGTTGTACATAGTTATGTACCTGGTAGGTGAGGTCTGAGAGCTTGGCCGTG